GTAGACCATGTGAAGTAACCATTGCCAGTAAAAACACAACAAACTTGAAACCATTTTTGCATATCTGCAACAAGTGTGCTGTGGGTAAAAAATTGGCGTCAGGTTTTTGAAAACAGAAGTAATATTACTGTCTGTGGTGGAGAACCCAAAATGCTTTTAACAGGCGCTTCTCATGTGTCTTGGAGTGTGACTCTTTTGCAGCACGTGTCCTCCATTTTTGTAGGGAAACATCACTGCATTGACTCACTTAGGTCGAGAGTGGCATGCGATGGTCAGGTAACGATAAGAGTTGCGTCTACTGGGTCAAATAGCTTGCCGTACAGCGTCACCTTAAACAGCTCATTACAGTGTGAATACAACTGAATACTCAAATTTCATATAAAAGTAAGTTGAGAGAGCAAATTCAGTGAGGCATTTCACAGTGTCGTTTCAAACCTAAATCATCAAAAATGACAAAATACTTAGGACAGCATGTTTAGAAACCACTGTGAAATTATGAACTCTTATTTCTACATTGATGTGCTTTCATTCCAAATCTAGGAAAATAAATAAATAAATCCAAATCAGCCACGAAAGAGCATTATTTTCTTGGCTTTGAGAAAGGATCATACCTCTATATGACCGCTTATATCTCAGGGCGATGACCTTTCCTTATCTTGGTGGTTCAGCTGGGACAGCGCAGCAGCATTGTAGTACAGGGGAGATTGCAGAGTAAAATATCCAGTTGAGGTAAGGAATCTCCAGCAAAAGGGTTCAGAGAGGATAATGTTGCTTTACAACTTAAAACATTTGGTTCCAGCTTGATACCAGTTAATAAAAGTAAAGAGAGAAATAACTATTTATAGACTGAAGCTAAAATATTTTGAGTTCTGATGATGACTAAAACAAGACTGAAGCTAAGCTAAACTAAAAATGGGACTAAAACTAACCAATTAACTTGGTCTAAAAATCACTGCCACGATTAATACTGTTGTCCCACTGAGCCTCTATTTCCTTTTATTTACCAAAAGCTGCCTCTGGATCCATTTACTGTTTGATAAACCAGATAAAAATATACTTTTTAACCAGCACTTATATCCAAAGTGGATGAACATTTGGTGCTTCTATCCAAATATGTCCTCAAATGAACTTTACAAAAACGGTTTATTTCTGCAGCGTATGCTCCTGAGATTATATGACAGCCATCTCGTTCATGTTTAGTCTGTGAGCAGGCAAAATAATACACATAATACACAAAATACTGATCATACATAATAATAAAAAACATTTGTGACCAAAAATGGTGAACCACATTATGGTTTAACTGATCACATTTTTTGAGTAAGACTCAAAAGAGAAGCTGGGAGGGTGCAGAGTGAGTGTATCCTGAGATTAGGAGTAAGATACTCTGAAGTATTAATAAGTCCAGCGGCTAGCTTTGACTCCATCTGTCCTAAATCCAAACAACCGCTCATGTTTCGAGTACAAGCAGCTCTGGCTCGCAGCTCTCTTGTCTTTTTAAAAAGCTTTGCTGGCACCACTTTCCTCACATGAGAGCGAACACACACCGACACACAGGCACACCTGCACACACACAGGTAACCGCAAGTGCTCACAAGGAAAAGATCTGCCGGTGACATAAAGAAAAGGTGTCTCTACGTGTTAGCATCTAAGAAAAAAGGTTGGAGGATGTAGCGTGCAGAAGAGTAATGGGGTTTTAAAAGCTTGTGCGCAGCTTTACGCAGCAAAAACAGGGTTACTTCGTCAGGGAGGGAAGACTGGAACGATCAAGGTGGGAGAAGAAGAGCATGCAGATTGGCTTATTGTCTCAGCCCGTCTTCTAACGTGTTCTGCGGTGGAGACAACCCCCCGCCACTGTCACGCCAATAAAGCAGATTTGAATTTGAATTTTTCTCCTGGTGAATGAAAGTGGAAGCAGTGGGGGAGCTGGAGCGACGAGAGATGGGGTGGTCTGCGTGAATCAGAGAGAAGATTATGAACAAAGAAACACACAAACCATCTTTTGTTTTTATTCTTCAGCACGTGCCTCCTTGTGACTCTTTCTTTCATCTTTCCTCCAGGAAAACAGAGCGCTCTTATGTCTGTCATCTGCAGAGGGGACATGCTCGCTTCTTCTGCAGTTGTTAAGTCAGTGTGGATGAGTGCAGCAGCCAAATGCCAGGAATGTATATGTAAAATGCGGGGGAAAGGGGACGCTGTGTAGACAGAAGAAAAAGAAGAAGGAGGAGGAGGTGTGTGATTGGAGAGGCGAGGAGGAAGAGGAGAATAGAGAGGGTGGTCTCGCCTCTGACATTGACTGAGAGCCGGCCTTTATCGTGTTGCCAGCAAAAGAACACAGAGGCACATATCAACTGTACTCTCACTCCATTTCCCTTTGCTCTTTACTCCTCCCCCTCCTCACCCCTCGCTCTTCCTCTCTCTTCTGAAGATTGTGTGGTTTACTCGTTTCTCGTACTCACACTGTGCCTATTTCCCCCTGATGTCACACTCAATGGGCGAAGCTCAAATGCTGCTTTACTGCGATGAAGCTGAGGAAAGGCAGCGATAAAGTCTGTTTAATCTTGATTTTTACTCACATTGGGTCTCATTCATGAAATGTGAGTCGAAAGAAATTTATGGGGATACGTTATTATTTTAGTTGCTCTGATTTATATGAAGCTTCTAATAAAATCTAAACCCTAAAAATCGAAGGATACATAAAACTATTGCTTCTTTTTTTAATATCAGAAATCACTGTGACCTCTTATGTTCACAACAGACAGATACCTCTGAAAAATTGACTAAAAAAATCAATATATAACATATTGGTCTACATTGTTATACAATCAGCAAATTTGAGCTTCAGATAAGGTTTAAAGTTCAAAATGAGGTTGTTTTGTCCAATGATTATCTAAATATTAATTGCCGACCGCTGTGGCTCTGTGGACTGGAGGGGCACATGACGAGACTGTGTGACAGCACAGGTGTGACTTGACAGGAGAAAGGAGCAGTGAGAGATGGTGGGTTTATCTATAAGGATATACCCTGTTTACATCCTCAGCCATGTGTCGATTTATGCACATATATTTGCAATCCGCTTGCACAAATAGTAACCCATACACATGGGTTACTATTTTTTTCCTTTACTTGGCATCTCAGGGACAGTACATGTGTTTTATGTGAAGGTCTTAACTATCTATAGGAGACAGGTTGGCCACTGAAGCCGAGGCTTTTGACTCTACTGTCCTGCCACACACCATGGTAGAGGCCTTTAGTGACACAGAGTATATACTCAGACTTTCACTGTCTCCACACACCAAGTGTGAATAAAATCATTTGTGCAAATGAATTAGATGTTAAGTCAATGCAAAGAAGTGATTAGACGCTCCTACTACTCTGGTGGTGCGAATGATGAAAATTGGGCGGGAGCTGAAAATGTCTCAACTTAAGCGGATATTCGTGTCGTGATAAATAATCAGCATAAATAAACGGATGGTTGTTCACTGGTATCTAAAATGGAGGACAAACTAATCATGTCGGTGTGTGGGTGTCCTGAATGATATCTTTTCTTTCAATTACTGAAACCAGAATAAAAAGGAGCTCGCCTGGAGGCAAGAGAGTGAGGAGGTCGGATTACCTGGTAAATTGTAAAAAACTTTGGTCTATCACTTGATCCCGCTGATTGAATTGGCAGGGATTACCATTGAAATTACTCTTGATTTACTCTTGAGTAAATACTATTCATCCACACGTCTTGATTTGCGTGAATTAGGCGAGTAGATTATTTTACTTGTGCTTGGTGTGAGCGCCCCATTAGAGTGCACAAATGGTTATCACCACTCACAGGAGACAATAAAATATATTTTCTGAATTCAACTCCAACCTAAATAAATCCTTTTTTTCTGCATCTGAATTTCTTTTCTTCCACCTCCTCTCCCTTCCTCCGCTGTGCCATGCTCGTCCGTCCACAGGAAGCACATATCCACACCTCCATATATGGTGTTCATGGGCGGAGATTTATGCTGATCAGTGGCTAGCGGGAGTGCACTGTCACTTAAACAAGCATCTACAATCAAATTCAGGTTTTCCGCCATGTTCATGAATCTGTAGTAGTTTCTTAGTAACACTGACATTTCTGTGTTTCTAACCTTTATGAATGAGACCCATTATTTGAAATATAACATTAGTATGAGACTTAAATATTGGAGGCTACAAGAGACAAAAAATGGCAAATAAACCCTGCCCCAATTGGATCAGCCCAGTCAAAGAAAGTCTGGACACACCTTTGCTTCTTAAAGTTTCTTAATGGAACTGTAGACACCATATCCCAAATATGGTCAAAATTGGGATAAGACTCTTATCCGGGATTCTCAAGCTCATTTGAATGTACTCCTTGATTTGTCAAATTGTGTTTTAAGTTGGATCAACGCAGCACAATTTCACCACGATATTTTATCTCCCCACTCTGAGTCTGGTGTCAGATGAAAAATGGCCGCCCTGAGCAGGTTGAACCCACTTTAAAGGATAATATTAGACCCTCTTTGCACATAAATTGCAGATGGGATGTGGAATCATGGGTAACAGGAGGTGAAGAGAGCCCTGATAGTAGTCTTATTTAAGATCAGGATGTGTGTGTATGAGTGTGTGTGCAAGAGGAAGCATTCAGTTTTCGTGGTGTGAAGCGGCGAGAAACAGCCCCAGCATGATGATGGCTCTGGGCCTGCAACTGACAGTGCGGCCCAGGTGCACCCTGGGATGCATGATAGATGGAGAAAAGGAAGGAGGGAGAGCGGGAAGGAAGGAGGGAGAGACAAGAAAGAGACTTGGCAGGGGAGGAAAAACGGTGAGGAAGGAAAGGGGGAAAGTTATAGAGGTTGTTAAAGAATTTGAGGAGGGTGGGAGGGAGGGAGGGAGGAGGGGAGTCAGGGAGGGAGAGAGGGGGATAATAGGGAGAGAGATGGAGAGTGTAGAGTGTAGGGCAGAGCGGAGCAGATTGAAATCAGTAGATATGACAGGAGTGGAAAGATAGCAGAGGACAGAGTGAGAGAGTGGAGAGGGAATAAGTGGATTAATAACATCCCTCATCTGGACCTTATTCCCCTCCTCTCTCTCTCTCTCTCTTTTTTTCTTACTCTTTTTCTGTCTCACTTTCCCTCAGCTTAACCCAACGCCACCTTTCCCCCTCCCCTTTCCCGGGGAGAAAGATGTCTGACTACAAGAGTGTGCTAACCTCCCTGACTCCCTAAACCACTTTGCAGGCGCCTTGGGATACTCTTGTGGTCCTCCTGAACATCAGCGTCTACAGTGTCCCGGCTTTCACTCCCAAACAAAGTGACTTATCCTCCATCTTTACTGCGGGAAATTGAAAACTCTCTTTGTTAGCTGTGTGAACAAACAATATTTCAAAAACTATCTTATCAGAAAGCCTTGAACCGAGCCTGCATGATATGAGAGGAACCTACAGTGTGCATTTGTATTGTTTGATAGCATGATTGTAAACTGACGCGCGATAAAAGTGAAAAATTGAACCGACCTTATGTCTTTCTGCTGTGAAGAATATTTTCCACTGTATTTTGTTTGTAACACATCATCCCTCATGAATGCTTGAGAGGTTTAAATACAACCCCAATTCCACAACCATAGAGATGCTGTGTAAAATGACAGAAGTTGATGGATTGCAAACTGTTAAATATTTGATTGAAAATAGTGCAAAGACAGCATATCACATGTGAAACCTGAAAAAGTTCATGGAAAAGGTGCTGATCTAAAAATTGTAAATAGTGTTTCAGTTTAAATCTGGTTTATGTTTTTATGTTGAGCTACACCACGGGTTTGCTTTACTCCATACCTATGAAGAAGCCGACAGGCATGGTCTGACACACACCTTAAAAAAAAGTAACTCGCAAGTTAAAACAATGCGGACAGCAAACCTTGTGATTGGTCTGCTTGGTGACAGGGTGACCATTTTCTGACTTCCCAAAAAGAGGACATGACTGCACGAGGGCAGAGTCACGGAGTTGCACAAAGTTAATTTTGAGAGTGTCTTTTATGCGCTTCTAACTCAGTAAGTCCACATGACACAAAATCAAAACTTACGTACAAAACTGCGGACGTTTTGAAGGATTTTATAAGCCTCCCCGGACAAAGCCGAACAAACCCCAAAAAGAGGACATGTCCAGGTAAAAAAGGATGTACGGACATATCTAGTATGGCCACTGTTTTCTGGATTCTTCCTTAGCAGCTGTGTAGTTCTCTTGAATGTCTCCCTTTTATCATTTTTGCAATAACTTCAAAACACCTTGATGGACCAAAGGGCCAAGGGTGGTGGACGGCTTCTCTCACTTCACTGCAGGACAGAAAGATCCAGAAGGTCTGTTGTACCCACAGCCATCAGACTGTTTAATTCTTCTAAATCAATCAAGTCAATCAATTAAGGGGATCAACAAAGTTCTTGTATTGTATTTTTATGGAATCACTTTCTGCACATGGGTACCAAAATTATCGCAATCCACAAGTTCCTCATGGCAACTTAAAAGCTGTTTCCAGTGAACCGCTCGTCTAAGCCACTGCTCAGCTATGCCTAATAAAATTCATAAAATTACAAACATATATTCACTTGATGCTTATTTTCCACCTTGTTATTTCTCCCTTCGTACATTTCCGATGTCAAATGCGTGGATATAAAATCCGCGTCCATATACTTTAAAGACTCACTCCGCCCAACAGCCTCTCTATCTAGCCTCCTTAGTCTACCTTTACGAGACACACAGACAGATGACGCACACACAAAAAGGAACCATTACCGTTCTACAAGGACCAAGGGAAAAGAAAAAAGAGGAGCAGTGGCAGGAAAAGCATCAGACTGCAGAGGGCCCTCGGTGGGTCGTCGGCTAAACTTAGAGCAGAAATGGGCCAGAGAGAAACGATCTGTGTTTCTGTGTGTCTGACTGTAAAGAGGAGTCAACCTCTGTTCAGACACCTCTATGTGATCACTCTGGATTGTGTACTTAAATTTGTCCCTTTGCTTCTTTCTTCCATACCTGAATCTGGGAAAGGTGTGACAGAAAGGCCACATTGCAATCAAAATCACTTTAAGGCAAAACTAGTCAAATATTTTAATGAAGACCAGTGCTTTCTATTAATTAAGGTTCCAAAAGCACTTAAAATAAGGTCACTGTTAATTAGATGATGGTCTGACAAATGTGCCAGCTAATTAAGCTTGTATGTGTATGATTAAAGATAAGCGGGCTTCCATGATAAGAAATGTGATGATGAGGCAGCGAAAGTGGAGGGAGAGAGGAAGACGTTCGCCGAGTGAGGGGAGGTTTAATTGAGGGAGAGATGATAAGTGTGTGTATATGTGTGTGTGTGAGAGAAAGAGAGTGTGTGAGGCAAGAGAGAGGGACCAAGGGACAAAAAAGAACGACGGGGTAGCAGAGGGGAGGGCTTGTCATCAATATGTAATTTTAGCGAACATTGGCGATGGCAGGCTCTATCAGAAATGAACGCAGCCCAGCACTTGTGTGTGTGTGTTTGTGTGTGTGTCTCTGCATCAATCTCTACAATCTGTGTGTGTGTGTGTGTGTGTAAATGCCCGTGGCAGTGTTGAGTTTATATCTCCTGCCTACTGTCTTTTAAATTCACAATATTCAAGTGAAGGCCAGCTGTTCTTCACCTCCCACTCCTGCTCTCTTTTCTACATCCCTCCATCCTCTTTCCCTCTGTCTTGCTCTCTCTCTCGCTCTTGCTGTCTTCACTTTCCATCAGGCGGTGCAGCAGCAGTCAATATCAACCCCCCCACCCCCCCCACCCCCCTGCAAAAGTTCAAAGAGGCCTTTATAGGCAAGGATAGAAATATGCATTGCCAAAAACCTCCCAGCAACAGACACCATCATCGCTCTTCTTTGGCTCGCTCTACCTTTCTATCTCTGTCTTTGTCTCTCCTCTACTCAGGCTGTTTCTCTCGTTTTTTGCCTCGTCGGTACTTCCTTGCAAAGCAAAAATTGCCAACACCCGAAATCTACATGTGAAAAATACATATACCTATCTTGACTGTCTTTTTTTTTAAAAAGAGCGTCAATGCCAGCATGATAATCTAATATTTATTTATCATCTTAATGATACATCATGATTAAATGTGTAATCTCAGTATTAAATATGGTTACAATATTAAGTCTTTCATGTATTTATTTGGAGGACTCAGGAATACATCCCAAATAAGCGCTAACCAGGATTGAAATGCTGAATTTTGGTGGAAAACAGAAGGTTTGAAACACCAAGAGCTAATGCTGCGTTCCAGTTGTACTCAGAAGTCGGAAATTTCGAGCTCAGAGTTGGAAATTCATCTGGATCGCCCCACTGAAGTCAGATTTCCGACTCTCAAAGTAGGACGATCCTCACTTACTCTGACTTGACGACAACATCATAATCCAAGATGACAGCGCAGTGCATCAACAGTAAAGAGTAACAGTAAAAGCTCTCGTAATGTTTTATTTATTAGCACTTCTGTTTTGTTTTTGTGAAATTAATTAAGCGGTATATGTTGTACTGCCCAACGTCTAACTGTGAACACGGTGTTATGGTGTTTATAATAGTAAAACACTGTGTTATGCGTTGTTTACAATTGGTATCGCTAACAACAACTAACAACTGCCGACAATGGCTAACAACAACTGACAATTGTCAACAACAACTGACAATGGCTAACTGTTGGCGTCCATCTTGGTTTTCCGACTTGTTAACTGGAACGCCGTCAACTCAGATGTAACGTCATTCCCAGCTCCAACATCCGACTTCCAAGGTAACTGGGAGCAGCATTATTTCAACCACTTCGGCGTTCACTCAGGGACACTTTCATCAAACAAAATTTATTATGTAAATGAAATAGTTGTATATGGCAGTATGGTTCTGAGAGCAAACCTCCCCTCAGTTTCTTGTACATACATGAGGAACCAAGGCAGGGAGGGCAGCAGCGAAGACCCCTAATATATTTGACGTTGGTAAAATCAGACACAGTATAAAAAGTGGGGGCCAATGTGGAGGCCGGTTGAAAAGTTTGCAGTAGACACAGGAAGAAAAGGAAGGCCAAAGTAGTTTAGGTAGAACACCCATTTTTACATTTACTAATTGGATGTGTTGAGTGTAATTGGCCAAGTTGTCAGCTGGCGTCAGGATCCTTTGTCCAAGGGGCTTTGCTTGACAGAGTACAAAGTAGCTGGGACCTAGAGGTGCTATGCCCTGGCACCTCTCTGTCCCAGGACATGGTTCTGTGCTGAAAAATGGTGGATTGCTGTGACTAAGTTTCCTCTAAACTCTACATGTACAAAATGCAAAGTGCATTAGTGTGAATATTGGCTTGGCGTTTGCCCCGTAACAGTGTGTCCCAGTGTTCCCGTTCATTTCCAGCATTTGATACAATTAGAAGATCCTATGTTGTTTTAAATTTGGTGTTTGGTGTGTTTGGTTTGAGTGCTTGTATGAATCCAAAACAGCCCTGTCGTATTAGACTGTGACTGCAGTGTTGATTCCTCATTTTATGCATTGTGCTGTGAGTGCTTAAGCGTGTCCTGCTATTTGAAGCTGTGTTTTGGTGTGTGCCTGTGTTTAAAGCCGTTCAGATATGTGTAAATGTGTGTGTGTGTGTGTGTGTGTGTGTGTGTGTGTGTGTGTGTGTGTGTGTGTGTGTGTGTGTGTGTGTAAATTCCAGAGCAAGATTGGAAGTGGGTCTATTTCTTTTGCACTCACTGATGTGCCCCTGTGTGTGTAATTGAAATACCTGAGTTATTGACTCTCTCTCCCCTCCAAGTCAAATAACTGCTCCGGGAGTGTCGAGTGCACTCGTTTGGAGGCTCTGGGGCAGAGCAGACCAAGGCCTGTCAGCCATGGACTCCACACACATACACACACAAACACATGCATTCTTAATAGTGTCCTACTTAGGCTACTGAGTTAACTCAAATTAGCACAGAGAGATTCAATTAAAGTGATAAACACAACATGTATGAACAAAAAAAAACTTGAAATTTAATGCAGTTGGATATGGAGACATCCCAAAACCAATTCAGAAACTGGTACTCAAGTATCAGCTGATATGTAGACCAGCTTCATGCTGACTTGTACTAAATATGTGCAT